TCGTGATTTACCCGATCGAAAGCTTTCGAGAAGTCAAGATAAATTACGTCCACCGCGTCACCATCATCAAGTGCTCTTGTCCATTCTTCTCGTGCGATCAGCAAATTGGTAGCGCAGGATCGCTTCTGTTGGAATCCATATTGATTTGGTGACAAAACATTGTGCTTCTCTAGGTGTTCCATCAGCGAATCTGCTACTATGGACTCCATGACTTTGGACAGCACAGGAAGGAGGGTTACAGGGCGGTAGTTAGCGGGATCGCTACGGCAACTGCCTTTATAAATAGGTGAAATTACTCCCTGCTTCCATGACGGTGGGATTGTGGTGTAATCGAACATCCTCTGGAATAGGAAGGCTAGTGGCTCGGATATTCGATTCGTCAAGCAAACAAATATATCAACTAAAATGGCTCCAAATTGGGAAATATTTGTGAAAAGTATCAACTCTCTACATTTAAGCTTTTATTTACCGAGTATGATTTGTTTGTGTGTATCCTTTATTCAGTCACCACCACGACCGTACGTCGACTCGCGGTCAAACAGTGATGCCCTGAAGTTTTCTGCACCTAACTGTCAGTGGAATTTCGGGATACAGTTAACTCAACCGAATTGATTACTGGAGAAATAGGTACGGAAGCAAATACTGAAATGTTTCACAAAAATTATTCTGAATGAGAATATTTCATTCCAGCAGACCATTCACGTTGAACCTCTGTGAGCTGAATTTTGGTTGTTATCATTTGGTTGGTTCCGAAAAGGTTTATAAAAAATACCAGGGCAATGCGAAGATGAAATATTGAATACGGGTAAACTAGATGTATAATGAAAATGATCAAGTGCATGATCACTTGGGGTTATGGCACATTGTCGTATCGCTCAATGCGCCAAATCATTGATGAAGTAGATCCCCAAATCTCCTTCCAAAACGCCCCCAAGCAAATTACACCACCCAATTCCCTGGTCAAAAATTCGATAGTTCATGCAAGGTCATAAGGTTGATCACCTCGGACCCTGTTACAACTACTTTCTACATCGGTAAACATTAGGCACCAAAGTAGCCTATCCGGTAACGGACGCAACGCAATCGATGAAAAATAATAAGTTGCGTTAGTGCCTGATATAACGTTAGTTTAATTGTAATCTGTTTAACATGAAGCTTGACGAGAATGTGAATGTGAAATTTTCCTGTGCTTACTTACTTACTGATTATTCGGATAGTTTGTCTTTCGGCTAGGGCGAATCACATCGGATTGTTCTAATTCGATCTAAATAAAAACCTTTCATCACCAATCATTCAGGCCAAGTTTTCTGTTGAATCAAATTCCATCACTCACTAACATCGGTGGCTAATAGTTTTTCAAGATTCAAGTAAAAATGTTCTCCAAAAAGCATAATTTGGGCATTTATAATTCAGATCTAACCGTTGGCTTAAGCCTGTCGTTTCTTTGAACAAGCAAGTCAGAAGACAAACACTGCGAGAGAAATTGATTTCTCATACTCTCCTCGGTCGCGTACTTATAAAACTAAACAACATAGACAAGTGAAGCGTATGAAGAAATCTGGTTCGGTTTCACGTGTGTGTGTGCGTGTGTTTGTGTATTTTGTGATGCACATGATTGGTTACTACCAGGTAAAGGTCATATGCTTTGGACACAGCCTGGGTTTGTTTTGAACGATCGATAATGCCTCGAATATCCTTAGTCGGTGTTTGTCATGGTGACGAAACACCCCCTCCCCATTCGGCCATCGCACACCACTTGGTTGAAAGCCGTGGTCACAAGGTAAACCTTGCGAACGCGTTCCCGCTTACTGTTTTACTACTATTTTACCGATAGAGTACAAACCACTAGATTGGGGAAGGCCACATCGAAACCCTTACTCAACAACTCCGGGGTTCTTCAAGGAGCTGTGCTATCCGCATACTTATTTTCCACTGATATTTCTGATATTCCCTGTGTTTTTCCCCGCACGAATTTTGAAATATGCAGATGATATCGTGCTGTGCCAACCCATTTCTACTTACTCCGATCTAAGCTCTTTTACCCATAATCTTGATCAAATTCAGTCATTCTCCACCTCATCGGGGCTAACCCTGAACCCCAGTAAATATGTTGAGTGTTTATATAGTTTTCCTCACTCCCCATATCCGACAGACCCCACAGTGATTAATAACAATCCTTTAACCAGCGTGAACTCCGTCTACTATCTTGGTGTAACCATAGATAGCAATATTTATTGGTCAACCCACATCCACAACTGCAATGGTAACCTGTGCGCCTTTCATTTCAACTACGAAAGCTCAGTCAGTTTCGTGCATCCCAGTAAATTATTCCTACCTTTATTTATCAATGTGATTTCCCCATCTTACTCTACTGTTCCCCAATTATTTTTCCTGGTTTACTCAAGCAGGATTTCCAAGTCTTACGCCGCGGTCTAACCATTATTAGCCGTGTCTCTTCTATTCCTGAATGAGTTAGCTATAACGCTTTCAAAGTATCACGTAACTTCCTGTGTGAAATTTGCTAAGAGGATTCTCACAGATCCTGACCACCCATTACGCGCAGAAGTGACACACTGTCGTTCTCATCATTCAACGCGCTCCCAATTCCGTCAAATTTCATCTCGAATTAACGTTTACCGCAATTCACTTATACCTTATCTGGCTCGCGTACTCATATACAAAGAGGGGACAATAAGTGAATTTTGTCTTAACCTTGGATTATGAAATGTCCCGATGTCTGTAAAAACTTTTCTCCCCGTTGATTATGTACATTGTGAAGGTTAGCCTGTATGATTTTTAACTGAAAAGTGAGCTCCAGTGATTGCCGAAGTTATACACAATACACAATTACTGTATTTCCTCCGACGGCCTTTAATTCGTTGCAGTTATACGTTCCTGAAAATTAGGTGTACCATGATATATCCCATAGATCAAAAGTGAAGTAAAACAATATTGTTTTCATCAAAAAATTTGTTCATATTTTAACCATGACATCTTGCTTATAAAAAATATACATTCTTTCAAATTATCATAAAAATAAGTAACTTTTGCAATAGGCGCATTGTTTGTTTACACTTTTTCATACAAAATAAAGAAAACAAAAATGTAGAGATGAATAAAATGCTGCCAAGGAACCTGATGAAAGAACTGTTTCAGCCTGAAAATTAATAGGGAAAAGCAGTTCTCTCACAGTTCTGATTGGTATAATTGATTTCGACTGTTTCCCATACTGGAAAATCTATTCACACACGTTCAATCACTAGAACTGAGATGGGCCATCTTTAATGCTTGTGACCAAGTGGCATTCTGCTTCTTCCCGTCCACGTTCACACAGATTCGGCTCAGGTGATTCGATTTAGTAGGCCCGTTTTTCTTCTTATCCCCATTCGCCCTTCCTTTTTGTACAGATAACATTTTCGGGTTTTGTTGAGATTGTGAAAAATTCAGCAGCCTCGAACCCACGCATAGACGCCGCCTACGCCCAGCTGGTCGAGTGTGCAGTGTACAAAAGCGTAGGCAGCGTCTATGTGTGGGTTCGAATCCCACCTAGGCTAGTGAAATTATCACAATCTCAACATAGCGCTTCAATCTGCCCAGCAACAATCTGAAATTTTTTTGTTTTTGATGGGAATGATTTTATAAATCTAATGTGAATAATGTTTTAGAGGAAAACAAAAGCACTTTGGTTTCTTGTATACCTAATAGTTTTGTCTTTGTTCATCCAGGTTCATCAATCTATTGGGTTGATGAAGATGGTAAAACGCGTACGGAGGAGACGTTATACTTACACTTTAATACGCATATCGTGATGTGTTGTGCGGCGGATCGGCAATCCACATGGAAATTTCAATCTTTCGAGCGAAAGAAGTTTCAAAATATTCAATCTAGCTCGACGATTTCCTTGAACTTCGATGAGAATTCCAATCTACTCAAACTGCATCTAACAAAAATTCGGTTCTCCTCGGCTGGTATTTATGCCTGTATAAGCAGTTCCGGCGAAGAGAAACGTCTGACTGTTCATATATTAGCAGGTAATCACAATGAATTGCATTTTGCGTGTGTGTTTTTGGGCAAACATCAATCGTGTATACTCTCTCTCTCTCTCTCCCTCTTCTGTGTCTTTAGTGACAAATGCCACAAACGATGTGATTAAACTCAATCACTATCGAGCGTTTATTGCAAAATTTCAAATCCGAATTGGCCACCCCCAAAAGACAACCACACCGACCGTGTCATGCACGTTTCGGTTGGCAAAGCCGCGGTGGGATACAGTTGAAGTTCGCTGGCGCGGAGGACTGTATGCAACAAATCCGAAACTGTATAGTACTACAACCGAAATCGATCGAGTTCAGGGAAGTTTGGTGACGACAATGTCGGTAGCCACACCAAGTAAGCTGTACATTCTGTTCTATGCTATTTAGAGTGCTATGCTGTTTAGAGTGGATTCCATTGAGATAACTGGTAATGATTGACACAACTTTGCTTATCCGCTGTCTCCGTGTCCCTATGCATTTGTAAAGCGGCTTCTTAAAAGATAAGTAAATTAGCGAAAACCTGGTATTATCCCTCATTCCGTTAACCCAACACTGATATATGGAATGCAACATATAGTTGAACAGTCTCAAATTCGAGGAGCCTGGGTGATGAGCTGCTGTTTCGGTAAAGCAATTATAAACCACCAGTAACATTTTCTCGGTGTGGGTGTAATATTTGGTAACTCGAATTTTCACAAGCAGATAATTAATGGACTAGTCTATTTGTATTGTATGCGTCATGAAACTAGCTGATCCGTTTAAGGTGTTCCTTTATCACACTAGGCATGTTATGGATGTTTTATTTTCGTGTGGTTTGGGTTTTGATCTTATTGTGAACGTCTCACTCCGTGGGGGAGATTTCTAGATTTGTTCCCTTCACTTGTTTACTTTTCCAACGCAACTGCCCAGCTGGAGTACTGAACTGCTGCTTTGTTCCTACCAGAACTGGAGCGTGAAATGCGGGAAACTCTGCAGCGATGCAACTCACACGAAATACTTCTCCGAGAGTGTTTTTAAGTCTATATCGTCTAATGAGGAGTAGAGTAACTCTAGGAAGACGCCGGGCAAACTTGCGAATAATTTCTGGGAGAGGCACTACAATAGTCGGGCACAACCTTCCATTCACTTGCATATTCATTTGCCATTCGAAAACATAACAACGGTCAAGTGCAAAGCATACGATGGCCATACATATTACTCATGTCATCAGTGTTTTTACAATAGTTCGAAAAGTGTCTTTTGATGCGTACAGGCTCAGGAACCTTATTGTTCGATTCGTAATTACCTGCATCCTTCCACACTGGTAATACTGCTCCCCAATATTAATCCTTGATGTGAAAGAAAATGATTTAACTTTGTTTTTCAGACCCTTAAACTTCTGTCCCGTTACATTGGAGTTGATAGATTTGTTCTGTTTATATGAAGAATTCGTAGTGTAATGAGGCATGAGCTGAAAAGCTGGGAAGCACTTACTGTACAGCTATTTCTACTTTATAAGGCCACTCACTCATCTTAGGGACTCTAGGATTATTTTTTTCTCAGTCTCTACAATATCAAATTCGTTTTCTATTATTTTTTGGATGGTAATTTGTTTAATATATCCAATGTATAAGTTCATAAAAAGCTGAATGTTTACTCCTATATTCACATATAGCGTTTCTTGACTTAACTATGTTCATCAAGCTTTACAACATCAACCTTGGTAGGAAATGAAATTTTGTAACATTCGTGGCCCTCAGGATAATCCGATACTCCATGACCTAATTTGCTTGCATCGGCCTGGATAAAGTTTATCTCGAGGCGAAAGGCTTACGGGTCTTGGTCAAAGAATTGCCAGCTTTGTCTAAAGCTTGATCGGGAAAAGTGTGGTAACCGCATAAAGGGATTGGTGCTTTTGCCGTCATCTATCTATTGCATCTGTTTAATCACAATGCCCGTCCAATCGGAATGAACTGATTTCTGCATAATGATACACAAGTACATTTTTTGAGTGAGCTGGCGGGGGAGGATGAAGGTTTCGGCGTGGAGATGTGGGCTCTGACTGTTTGTCCCCAGCTTCCTCGGGAACGCTATGCCCTTGACCGTTGATCGAATGACGACAATGCATGAATCCAGCGGTAAATGACCTCGGTTGGTAGTTTAGGATAGCGATTCAAGATGGATCGATAAATGCGTTAACATACTCAGGTGTAT